CCCTGCTTGTGCTCTTTAAAAAAAAAAAAAAAACAAAAACTGATCAAAACTAAAGTTGAAGCTTAAACTTCTTTGTTAAATTGTGAGTTTAAAGAATAGTATCATGGGAATGCAAGCTGGTGCAGCCACTCAGGAAAACAGTATAGCGGTTCCTCAAAAAACTAGAAATAGAACTACCCTACGACCCAGCAATTGCACTACTAGGCATTTATCCAAGGGATAAAGGTGTGCTGTTTCAAAGGGACTCATGCACCCCCATGTTTCTAGCAGCACTATCAACAATAGCCAAAGTATGGAAAGAGCCCAAATGTCCATTTATAGATGAATGGATAAAGAATATGTGGTATATATACAGTGGAATATTACTCGGCAATCAAAAAGAATGAAATCTTGCCATTTGCAACTACGTGGATGGAACTGGAGATAAGGTATTAGGCTAAGTGAAATTAGAGAAAGACAAAAATCATATGACTTCACTCATATGAGGACTTTAAGAGACAAAACAGATGAACATAAGGGGAGGGAAACAAAAATAATATAAAAACGGAGGGGGACAAAACAGAAGAGACTCATAAATATGGAGAACAAACTGAGGGTTACTGGAGGGGTTGTGGGGGGGGGATGGGCTAAAGGGGTAAGGAGCACTAAGGAATCTACTCCTGAAATCATTGTTGCACTATATGCTAACTAATTTGGATGTAAATTTAAAAATGATATTTCATCAACTTAAAAAAATGATAAAATGCGCAAAGGACTTAAGAAAATATTTCTCCAAAGAAGACCTACAAATGGCCAACAGGTATATGAAAAGAGGCTCAACATCACTCATCAAGGACATGTAGATCAAAACCACAATGAGATATCCTCTTAACAGAATGACCATTATATAAAAAACAAAAAAATATGATCTAGCAATCCTACTTCCAGTCATTTACCCAATGATTTGAAATCAGAATCTCAAAGAGAGATTCGCATTCTCATGTTACCTGCAGCATTATTCTCAATAGACAGTGTGGAGTGTGGACATTACCTAAATGCCCATCCACAGATCAAAGGGTAAAGAAAAGGAGATTTACACACACCGTGGAATATCATGAAGCCGTAAAAAAGGAAATTCTGTTATGTGGTCTACCTAACATGAATGAACTTTGAGGACATGATGCTAAGTGAAATAAGCCAGTCACAGAAGGACAAATATGGCACAATTCCACTTACACGAGGTACCTAAAGTAGTCAAGCTCATAGAAACAAAGTAGAATGGTGTTGGCCAAGGGCTGGAGAGAACGAGAGCGAGTATTTGCTGTTCACTGGGGTTTACAGTTTCAGTTATGCAGGATGAGCAAGTTCTAGACACTGCTTATACTTAATTCTGTGTTATACACTTCATTAACAGGGTAGAGCTCATGTTATGTGCTTTTTGCCTCAATAAAAACTAATAAAATACGAATATTCTCCACCAAAAGAAAGAAAGAATAGTATCAAAATAATGTCACTCATCTAGATCTAAAAAATCTATTATGTTGTTTAGGATACAGTCTAAGAGAACTAAATTAGAGGAGTTACCAAAACCAGTGGTAGGCTCCCTCCCTAATCTAAACTCATAAAGCAAAATAATGGATCCACGGCCCAAGTAAAACATAAAAAAAATAGCCACACAGAAAACATTTCCCCATAGTTAAAAAGTCTCCATTTTGAACACTGAACCATTCAGGAAATAACTCTGCTTCTTCCAAATCTAATCAGTCCCTACTTCACACGCTGGCCTTAACATCATGCAAATCAATCTCTTAATTTCCTCTGATTGAGAGACTCCTAAACTTTGTGGTTTCTTCTCCTTTGCTACACTAAGCTAAATAAACCTGGTTTTGTGGTAACTACAGGCATATCTCTAATCTTCTGTTAGTGTGTTGCAAAGGATTTTCTTAAAAACACATAGTCTAGCTACCCAGAGAAAATTACTGTTGATGATTAAGTAGTTTTCCTAATTCAGGCATGGTTTTCTTGGCAGTTGACATGGTTCTTATCATATTACTTATCTTGCATTTTTTAAAAACAGGATTTTAGAAATTTTAGCTACACATTTTCAATGGAGATGAAAACACTATAGAATTATAGTGGCAGAATACATCCCAAAGTTTAACCATTTCATTTTCCAGTCACTAGACATTTAAATGTTTTACAATTTTTCTATTACAAACCTGTCATAAATAATATTTTGCATACATATTTTCCTACAGACTAAGGTATGTCCTCAGGATAAAGCCTTGCATTGACAACTGAATTGAAGAACATGAGAATTTGGGAGCTCCAGCCAGAGAAAGCTCGTTTTCTGATAGTTTTACCCATTAACTCCTACCTGTAATCAGTCTTTTATTCTCAAATTTTTCAAGAATTTTCAAACTTAGGCAGAAAAGCAAATGAAGTCATAAAGCACTTGCTGGAAAAGCAGAAAATAACAAATACCAAGAATAATTACTATAGGCATAAATAATCAGCTAGGTTTGGACATAGGCAAAACAGGTATCTGAAAATTTAAAAGAATTTTCCGACTTGAAAAGTTCTTTTCAAAATTGTTGGTGTAGAAAAAAAAAAAAAAAGCCGGACAGTTTTGTAGACATTAAAGTGAGAAAAACCACACAAGTAAACATGAGTCAACTATTTTAAAAACTGCTTTTTGAGTATGAACTCTGATAAAAAAGTAAGCTATTTTAGTAAGGTAATACTCTGAGAATATCTTTAAACAGCGCATGTTTTCACTGGCCTAGAGCTTAATGATAGTTAGCTAGGCCTCGGCTCCCTAGATTCTTGCTTCGCCAGTTTTCTTCAGGCCAACCTGGAGACTGGAACTCTGGTCCTCAATTTGCCCACTCGGGTGTATTAATACATGCTATGGCTGAGAGAATGAAGCTAGGGAACAGGTGAGTAACATAAAGACACCTCGGATTTCTTTATCTCAAAATTCAACTACACCTTTACATTTCGGGTCCACCGCAAAAAATACAAAAATAAAAAAGGAATATGAGAATTTAATCGCCATCATCCGCCATTAGGCCAAAACTGACACCGGTGAGCTTCGTTTCCACACCCATACGATACCCAATTGCAAACACACCTCCACATCCCTGTTCCTGCCCTTCACTATGAAACAGAACCTAGCCCGCCCCCGGCTCCGCAAAGCTGCAGCTGACGTCAGCGTGACAAAATGTGTGCGCCATGCTTTGGAGTCCTTTTCCGCGGTTTGCTACTGACGCCGGGACGGTCTCGGGCGGCACTAGAACTACAACTCCCAGGTTCCTGCGCGGCGCGGAGAAGGCAGGCCGGGACTGTGCGAAAGAGACTCCGGGGGATAGCGGGCCCGAGCCGGCCGCTCCTCCTTTTGAAGCGGTTTCGCACCTCTTTC